AAAAAAAGTTTTGTTACTAACTATTTGGATGTTTTTTTTTTTTTTTTTTTTCGTTAGTGTGCTGGTGAATCAGGATGTTATAACTTATGCTATGGATAGCATTACCTCCTGAGGGGTGGTTGTTGAATTTTAAATAGCTCTTGGGTAACTCATCTCATTTTGTTTTATAATTAAGTAGTTTCCCTGCCCCTTTTAACATAAAAGTTAAAAAAAGTTAAATAAAGTTCGATATCATTTTAGTTGACTTTATAAAAGTTAACTATTGCCACTGATTGTCACTCAGTTTAGCAGGTCTTGGTTGATTTAATTCTGCAGAGGTTTAAAAGCCTTAATGCAGAAGGGAATATAAGACAAAGTAGGGGAGAACACAGAATGGATGGAGGTATCAATTTTTCCCAAGTCTAAAACATCATTGTACTCTTTTTAGTACTTGGAAGTGGAATAAAAAGTGTTTCTTGAAAACTCCAGAAGTGTTTGAGATATACACTTCCACAATTGTCATTGTGTCAGTCACCTGCCAGGTGGATCCCGCAGCTCACAATTTCCATAGTATTTCTCATATTTCTCACAAGCTGTAGGTAAGATTCCTTACAGGGCTGCATTTATTTCCAACTTTATCAAGGAAGGATCTGCTTCCAAAATCATATAGTTGTCGGAATTTAGGCCTTAGAACAAGGGCCTTGGTTCGTAGTGAATTGTTGGGTAGAGATCTCTCTTGGTTCCCTGCCAAGTGGACTGCTCTGGGTTGTGGCTCAGAGCAGATGTCGTTCATCACAGTGAGCAAGAAGGAGGGCAGGAGAGAAGTAGGTGCAGTGTGCCGGCCACAGACTTTTGTGGCCTTCTCATAGTACCCCATTACCAGGTCCTGTGCACAGCCAGGCAGTGGCACTAGATCATTTGGGTCTCTGATGCTGCCTTCTACAGTTGAGTGCACAGGAGCATGTTTTTGAGTGAAGGGAGAAAGGCCATGTTCTGTGTAAGACCCAGAGACAGACGTTAAAGGCCTTAGTTATGCTTGCTTCAGATTTTGCCCATATACCTTGGATCAGTATTGCTTTCTTGTTTGCTGAGCTCCCTTGCAACTCAAGCTTTCCATATTGCCTGTCCCCAAATCGGCCTGCTGCACCCCGCAGTCCCACCTCCTTTCTCCTTATCTCTTCAGAACTTGCCTTTTCAGTCCCTGCTGCTTTCATGGATAATAGTTAACTGATCTTTCCTCCACTACTTCAGAAAAGCATGTGGAAGTCTAGTACTGTGGGGGTTGTCTGTCATATCTATTTAGTGTTTGGTTTTTATTTACTTTTAATGGTAGGAAAGCCAACTCTTGATGAGCTAGGAACAAGATTTTGGTGTGTATTCATTCCTTTGCGGCTTGTCATGTCCATTACTACTTGGAAGTAGAATCTCCACCTTAAAACATTCTTAAACAATTATTTAATAAATTTATTGTGCATATGTGGCTGTGCATGTGCCATGGCACATGTGTGGAGGTCAAAGTTCAACCTGTGGGAATCGGTTCTCTCCTTCCCTGTGGGTTCTAGGGATCTCACTTAGGCCGCCAAGTTGGAGGCAAGTTCCTTGACTTGCTGAGCCATCTTGCCAGCCCTAGAATCTCCACTTCTCAGCACTGTGCCTCTTGCTTGCTGAAGCACTTTGCTTTCCTCTGCTCACCTGCACTTGCTGGCTTTGCTTGTAGTGGCAGCCTAACAGGGCGTAGTGCTTTTAGTTACCAGAGTGACTAGTTATAGAGAAACTGTATTTGAATTTTGGGTCTGGTACTTGGCAAAAGCTATTCCTTGAGTTTTGAGCAAGCATTTACAAGTTTATGTGGCGAAGGATGAACACTTAAAAACTGACAGACCAGGACTGGTTTCAGTCACTTTTACTCTGTTCCCACTATTATGTGGAACATGGAATTAACCAACAAGAGGTGGCCCCTGTGCTCATGTGTATTTTGGAGACTACTGTTTGGTCTTACTCCCTTCAAAATGAAATGAAAAATCAGATTAGTAACTGGAAGGGGTTCATCCAAAGAGGAAGGAAGTTTTCCTGTGCCATCTTTTCATGGGGCATTTATAAGACAAAAAGGAGAAAGTAGGGATTCTTTTAAATTGTCCCTGGCATAGTTGACGCTAATTTTCAGTATCCATTCTGGGATTTGACCACAGATTTACTTATGTGCAGTACCACTGAATACATTTTCTTAGAAGCTCTTGTATGGCCAATGCTGTGCTAGGTACTAGTTATGATGTTTCTGATTAGCACAGCAGCTGAAAAGTAGGTCTGGTATCATAAAAAAGAGAATGAAGCTGAGGGCAGTTCAATACTATTTCCTTGGGCACATAAAATTTCCCAGTCTGCTGCTGCTTTGTTCTACTGCTTAGCTTTAGTCTGGGCAGTCTTTCTTGTTTCTCTTTCTTCCTGCCCCTTTCCCAGTACCCTCTAGTTAACAGGCCTCCAAAGCACTGACCAGGAATTGACTGCTGCTTGTAACTGTCCATCTCTGAGGCAGCTTAGCACTTGTACAATTAATGTTAGGCCAAAATGTCTTTTGTTATGGTAGTGTTTGTTGAAAATAATAAATGAAGGTCTGAAAAATGTGTGGGAAACTGCCTTGGTCCAGGTAATAACCTGTGTCCATAACATAGTTTGGTGGAGTGTCTGAAGATGGATAACATGCCGAGAAATCTAGAAACGAGGTTTGAAAAGCTAGGATATATTTTAGTAATCTAATTGCGTTGTGGCTAGAAAGTTGGAAAGATAAAACCTGTATTGTCTAGGAGGAGAGCAGATCTGTCTCACTTTCTGGGGTTTTATTCTGAAAGTCAACATTCCATTTCTGACAGTCCGTTAAGTCAGCTCTTTAGGTTTGCCTTTTTGTGCTCAGAAGTGCTATCTCAGGCTTCTTGGTTTCTTGTCTGAGTAATAGCCGTTGGAAAGGAAACACAAGGAAGTAAAAAGGAGGCGTTTTAGTGAATCAAACTAAGAAGAATGGTGGTCTCATGGTGGAATTCCCCTTTGTAACCTTGGTCACTCACTATTTCTTTGATGGAAGTCACTTTCACGACACTTATCAAGTATTGTTAAATTTAACAGAGACAAATGACTTTTTTTCCTCTTTCCAAAATCTTGGAATAAGTTAGTGTTGTTGGGAAGTATTTGGTTAATAGGAGCTGAGTAAAGAAAGTGAGTGTTGTGTCTAGCGGTCCATCTCTGTGATTCGTAGCTGGGCTCATACTCCAGCTTGATAACTTCATATGATAAGGTAGTACCTCTACAGACATTTTTTTAAGAGCTGTAGGTACTTTCTTTTGCAGTAAAAGTCTTCTTAGCAAGCAATTAGCTGGTAGGGCCAATATTTAGTACCCTTCCCTCCTCAAAATCTTGACAGACCAAGTTGAGTAATGCTAATGCTTAAGCTGAGTCTTTATTGGACAGTCTGATTAGTGTCCCCTTTTGCTTTAGGCCTCTTTATGTCTTTTACCAAATAAAAACAGTGCTCTGATCACAGCTGTGTAGCCAGACCACTTGGATTAGAGAGAACTTCAGGGCCTGTGAGCATCTTCAGTACCCTTGTCTAAAGAAAGTATTGACTGCTGTACTTTCATCCTTTATGAATTCTTTAAAAGCATCTATTATTTTTAATTTGCAGCAGCTCTTGCCAGGTAAAAAGTTTTGGGAAACAGATGAATCCAGCAAAGATGGACCAAAAGGAATATTCCTGGGTGATCAATGGCGAGACAGTGCCTGGGGAACATCAGGTAATCTAGATCTAGCATCTCTACTGTGATGTATGCCTGTCTTAGCACTCCTTTCCTCAGCACTTGGCAAGTAGTGAACTTTACACCAGTGGCATAAATGTCCTGTCCTGTTGTATAATTGCCATTAAGGAGCTTATATGATGTAATATATTTAAAAGTAATTAACACAGTCAGATCTTCAATATTTTCTGAAGTGCTAGTCACAGAGGATTGGTCTTGTTGGAATGACCTAATTTTAGCTTTGATTTTTCATTCTGCACTGCTATTAGTATTCCTGGAATTAGAAAATCCATGTCTGCCATTTGAAATACATGATTCTTTTTCTGCCCTTGCCCTTGTATGCGATATATGAGATAATCTATCTTTAAATGTGATTGGGGCCAAATGAAATCACTGGGCAAGACTAGATTTTCTTGAAGAGGGCTGGGGAGAACAGGTAGAGGCAGACACAACCCGAGCAGAAAGAAGCTACAGCTCCTAGGGAGAAGAAGGCAGAAAACCCCAAATCAGATGTGCTATACGTCATCACATAGTACACAATTAAACCTCAAAGTCTCAGAAAATTTTGTTGTTGCTTCTAAGGGCAGTAAAATCTTACTTTGTTTTAGTGATATTGCCAATAAATGTATTAAAGAAATTCTGCTTGAAAGAGGTAAACATTAATTTATACACATAGCGATGTGAACTCTGTATTCCTTTGCTAGTCTAGATAAATGAAGGATGTGTTCCATTTCTTTAGCTCGTGTAGAATATCAATACTTAGGACACGACAGGAGCTCTTGGCTCAGCTGACCATGGCAGGTCTCCTGATTTCCAGTCATTGGTTTCCCCGTGAGACGTCACTCATAATTTGTTTGGGCCTCTGGCTACACTGTGTCATACTTGTGTATCTTTTTTGTAGATCATTCAGTTTCCCAGCCAATCATGGTGCAGAGAAGACCTGGTCAGAGTTTCCATGTGAACAGTGAGGTCAATTCTGTACTGTCCCCACGATCGGAGAGTGGGGGACTAGGCGTTAGCATGGTGGAGTATGTGTTGAGCTCATCCCCGGGCGATTCCTGTCTAAGAAAAGGAGGATTTGTAAGTTGGTTTGAGGAACTTGTTCCTATCTCTCTCTCTCTCTCAACTCCCCCCCCCCACCCCCCAAGCAGCACATACCTGTTTAGTTTCCTTAGACACTGCACTCATTACAGGATCATTTAAAACACTTTGCAAAGTAGAGCTCAGCAAGCAGAGGTGGACAGGTAAACTTACTTTAAAGGTGGAGAAATAATGTTTTTTGAGGACACATTGTTAATAATGTGAAGAACTGAACCCTCTCAGTTAATTGATCTACCAGTAAATATCATACTTAAAGCCCTCTCCCCCCCAACCCCCCCAAAAAACAGAAAAAAGGAATTTAAAAAATACTCCAAAAAAGGAAGCCGGTGTCCACAGGGAATATTCGATCTGAGAGCAATGATTTGCTAATATACTGGGAACCTTAAAGTGAATGAGGCAGATGGGGTTATTCTTGCTTTGAAAGCTAGACTTTGATTTTAGGATTGCCTTTGGCCCTCCTTGAGCAGTTTTGCTACCGAATCCTAGCCAGCTGGGAAGTTTGAAGTTTATTTTTTGATTTCTAGTTTTTTAATTCATTGCCACTAACTTCTCTTACACTGCATGGTAGCTATAGCAGTCTCTTTGCATACTGCCACTTCCTGTTAAATTTAACCTTTCTCCCACAGCTTTGATAGCCTTTCCTAGAACAATTTCTTTTTTTTTTTTATATCAGTTTTCTAGTTCTGTGAGTCCTAACAAACAGTCCTATTCTGAGTCTTCTTCCTCAGTCTGTACTCTGGTGGTTTTATGTTCCACGTTATAGCTAGGAATCCTAGACCCCTAGAGAGCCTGACTCCACCTTCTTCTGTCTCTCTTGGTTCTCTGCCTTTTCAATCCTGAAGTCATTTAGGGCTAACTGATGGCAAACACGTAAGATACTTTCTTTCCCCTATATCATCATTGATACATGCTTCTTCAAATTATGTGTTGTATTTGTTACCCAGATTATTTTCCTGTGCCTGTCAGAGATTTGATTCTGTTCTCCTCATTTCACTTAAAACCTTGCAGACAGCAGATGTAGCCTAGTGTGGGTCTCAACTCCATTCTGGAGTACTAGCCATTCTAGAGCTGACCTGATTGCTTTTGGATCTTCTGACCCTCTGAAGCCTTATTCCAGGCATAGTGGCTTGTGGATCAGATATAAAGTGACTTCCTGTGTTTGTTCTTTCTCAAGGGGGCTGCTTGGAAAGAACGAGATCTGCTACTTTGATGTGAGGGCTGGGATCAGGCCAAATTATTTGCTTATGGTCTAAAGAGAAGAATAGAACTCTCTGTTTGCACTCTATCTCTAGCTCACCTTTCTTCCTTTACACATTTGATAGTCATCTTTTGAGTGTGGATTTCTTAGAGAAAGTGCTCCCTTCTAAATACCAGTGGCTGCCACTTGCAGTTATTTGCTAGAGGAGAAAAACTAGTATGGTGCTTAAATGAATTGTTAGTGTGGTGACTAGGAGCCTTTATGACACTAGTTGTGAGTCCTCTAATGTGTATGTGATCAGGTTCTAGTTTGTGACTAGAGGATCAGGTTCTAGTTTGTGACTAGAGGCACATGAATGGATTACTGTGAAGTTTTTAGGAGGCAGAAAATTAGAAAGTGGATTTTAAAACAGTGGGATAGAAGAAGTACTACTATCATTTTATTAGGCAGTTGCTTATATAGTAAAACCCTGGTTTTGGATCCACAAGCTTATATGTGCTTTTTGTAAAGGAGGGTCCATATGTAGTCATCTTGGGAAACTGGTGATTTAAAATTCTTTCATAGTATTATGACTGGATGCAATTTATGCCTTAGGCCAGATGAGGTTAAACAATTTGTACCCTAGATCTCTCCCCCTATCTTTGCACTGGGGATTGAATTCAGGGCCTTGGTCATGGTGGTCAAGGTGGGTCTCTCCCCAGCCCAGAAAATTGGGGAGTTAGTTTACTAAGCTTCTGAGACATGTGTCCATCCAAGGTAATAAAAGCTCTTGAGATCCATGCTTCTGCTCCTTAGAAAGAAGACTGTGGACAGTGAAACATTATGCTGCATTTTGACTTGAGTGACATCTGGAGAGTGATAGAGGAAGTCTGATGAGTGATGTCAGCCCAGCATGTTGGCATGTTCCATCTTCTGGTAGATGAAGGTCTGCTGATGGGTGAAGTGCTAATCAGCTTTGGGGTCGTGTCCTGAGTAAACCCTGGTTAGGATAACAGATACCAAGAGAGCTGTGCTCATGGGAACCTGACTCACTCTAGTTCTCATGGTGTGCATCTTCAAAAACAGTGAGCTAGCGCTCTCTCTCTCTCTCTCTCTCTCTCTCTCTCTCTCTCTCTCTCTCTCTCTCTCTCTCTCTCTCTCTCTCTCTCTCAAAAGCAAAACAAAATAAGTCTGTCATCAAGTGTTAGGTTCAGAGAGCAAAGACAGTAGGATGCCTGCTTGTAGGACACTGTTCTAAGGACCAAAACCCAGTAGCCTGTAGATCAGAGACCCGTGTATTCTTAACTAGTAAGCTGAGATGCCAAGATCATTGCTGGCATAGTGATTATGCACACCTTAAAACTGGTTCTGAGATGCCCCTCTCAGAATCAGCAACTCATAGTCCCTGGGTTAACTCTTCAGGTGGGCTGGCTCTTACTGAAGCTCATCTTACTGTGCAGTAGCTTTCCATGTGCACTGGGATTTCCTGAATATAGCTTGAATAGATGTAGCTCTTTGCTTCCTTCTCTGAGCCTTCTTGAGTTAGTTTTGGTGGCATAGTTTAGTAGTTGAGTTTAGTAGTTTGGCTTCTGAGGTAAGAATACTTTTTTGACTGACCAGAAGAATCTGACAACTGTGTTTTGTACTCATACTTGTAAATCCTTGATTGTACTTGCTATGTGGATCCCACCTTTTGGGGCAGCAGGTTTTAGAACAATGAGAAAAATTTGAATCCATAAATCAGGCCTCTTCTTCCTATTTGTATCCTTTATTTATCCCTGGAGTAATACTTTTCCTTTCCCACCTCTTAGTTTTAGAAGCGATTACAGAATCACATGAGTTAACTAACCAAGGGTGACATTGCTGTTGGTGTAGAATACCAGCTGATTTTCTAATAGGTTGAAGCCTAGCTAGTAAGAACAGTGGATTGTAATTGCTACCTTTTGGTTTATGATGCTTAAATAAGTGAAAAGCCCACTGTAAACTTCAAATCTATTAAAACCTTACAGAACAAAAAAAGGTTTTTAGAAAACAGAAAAAGGTCTCTCTGTTCTGTAAAGCTGCTGCTTTCTGATCTAGAGGATGTGTACTTGTAGTAGTTCATCTGGGTCAAAAAACTTGATTTGGCTTTCAAGGCTAGTATTTAATTGGTATTTTGTTCAAAAGGTTTGGATATTACAGATGAAAGTCAGGACTTTGTGTATGAGCTGGACTTTAATTTCTTCATCTGCACAGTAGGTATAATTAAAATCTAACGAAGCCTCCTCTGTAATATAACAAAGTCTCACTCTTCAGTCAGTGCCTGCTCCAGTCCCTGGGAGCTTATTAGAAATCAAATTCCTCTGCCCTGCCCTGGCTCCTGCTGAATCAAAACCTGCTGTTGTTGTTTGGGGCATAAGGTGTCACTGTATAGCCAGGGTGGCCTCAAACTCAGTCTTCCTGCTTCAGCATCCTCAGTACTGGGTCTGCAGGCATGTGCCACCAGTTTTTTGGGTTGTTGTAAGACAACCCTCTAATCATTCATGTGTATATTAAAATGGATAAGCATTGCACTGTTATAATTTCTGTGGAAGACTATATCATAGGAGTTCCTTCAGATTTGGGCTTACTCTAAAAATGAAACCCACACGCCCTGGTCTCCAATGTCAAGCTTTCATGACTACAAAATAGTAAAGTGAAAACTGGTTTTTGAGATTTTTCTACTAAAAACAAACACCACTTTCTGCCTAAAGATAAGTTTTCTTTTATTCTCTTGGCTGTAACAGCTGAGGTACCAGTTCTTCCTACCAGGAATTGGATGATTTTGTTCGCAGTGCCTGTGTGGGTCATGTTCCACAGTACACATCCCCCTGCTTTTGTTCCTTCTGAAATTGGCGTGCATATTTCAAATGAGACTGTGTCATGCTTTAACTAATGTGTTTCCGTTTTACTGGCTCATAAGTGACAGCATCTTGGGCTTGATGAAGTGTAGTAGCTGCAGTTGTACATACAAATCCCAGGAAAACTAGTTGGACTGAGAGTGCTATGAGTAGAGCCTCAACTGGTTCTTTCCAGGAGAAAGAGCACAGGGTGTCTAGCAGTCCTTGATCAAGCTTTGGAGGTGTGAGTGAAGGGGCTGTTTCTGTGAAAAAGGTAGCAAGTTTTAGTTTTGGAAGAATTGCACTTTTATGAATGTCAGTATTTGTTCCTTGGAACAGTTCCCTTTAAGGTAGGTTACAGATGGGAAAAATCTGGCTCCGAGGGAAAGTAGGGGGCCTGGATTCAAACTTTGTTTGAATTTCAGTTCTGAGCTTTACTGCTTTCTGCTCAACTCTATTGCCTTATGAGTTGAGTTCCTCATATAAGATTTTTCACAAGGCTAGCCCGTTCAGATTTTTTTTTTTTGTCTTTTTGAGGCAGGGTCTCCTTGTAGCCCCAGCTGTCCTGGAACTCACTATGTAGACCAGGCTAGCCTCGAACTCACAAAGATCCACCTGCCTCTGCCTCCCGAGTGCTGGGATTAAAGCCGTGAGCCACCACGCCCAGTAATTTGCCCTTTCAGATTTTTAGTCATTTTAGTCATACCTGAAATCTTTTATTGCATCAAGCTTTTTTTTTTTTTTTTTTTGTCATTTTGTGGAAAACAAATGTGTACAAGATAATTCCTAATGTCACGAATGTGCCTTCTACCACGAGAAGCCTTGTGCAGAAAGAGAAGGAATTCTGGTTCCTACTTCTTTGGAAATAAAAGAGATGTTGGGAAGTATTCCTTCCTTGACAGGGATCTGGAGGACACTGAGCTCTTAGTACAGGCTGATCTTGGGGCTCTGTGACTATCACTCCAGGACTGCTTTGCTCCCGCTTCTTTTGTATCTAGTACGACATTGTCTTCCACCTCAGAGTTGCTCTCCCATCTCTCAGCACCTTTTTGGTCCCACCATGGAGATTGGTTGGGCGTAAGTGTGATGCATGTTTGGTGCATCATGGACACAGAGATTTGCCTACATCTGCCTCCCAAGTGCTGGGATTAAAAGTTTGTGCCACCATGCACAGTGCATCGTGGATATTTGTCTTTGAGTATTACAGTTTAGGGCTAACATCTAAAGGAAGCCCATACTGAGAAAGATGTCACGAACCCTTATTTATTTTGTCATCCATCCATCCATCCATCCATCCATCCATCCATCCATCCATCCATCCATCCATCCATCCATCCAATAGACCTTTTAGTACTATTATGCACTGAATAATAGAATAAAACAAAATCTACAGCACAAACGTTCCTTGTTCTTTTTTTTTGGGAGGGGGTGTCTTTTCGAGACAGGGTCTCCCTGTAGCCCCAGCTGTCCTGGAACTCACTATGTAGACCAGGCTGGCCTTGAACCCACAGAGATCCACCTGCCTCTGCCTCCCGAGTGCTGGGATTGAAGGCGTGCGCCGCCACGCCCAGCCTTCCTTGTCCTTTTTATTTATTTGTTGGACCTTAATTGTATGGGTTCTCAAGTGTGGGTAGTTAAATGAGCTATTGGAAGAAAAGACTTAAAGAAAAAAAAAAATAGTGTAGGAGCCTTTTCAGACCAGTTAAATCAGAATCTTTGGGGCTTGCCTCAGGTACCTGTAAACGTTCAAATTGTGGTGATTAGCTTGTACTGTAGAACGACTACATTGTTAAACCTGGGAGGACAACACTGCACTTGTGTGTGGTAGTTAAAACACTTAATTTTTGAAACCAGACTTTTCAAAATCTTGATATCTACATAATATTAACTAAGAAATTCTGAAACTGTGCATCTTGTTTTCCTGTGTTACATGTGTATAAGTAATACACTCTTAAAAAATTCACATCTATTATTTCTTTAATGTTCATAACTATACTATTCTTGAACAGAATTATCCCTGATGAGCAAACTAAGACTCAGAGACTCAGATTAAATAACTGTCGAAGTTTTGTAACCATAAGTGCTACAATTGAGATAGAACTGCTTCCCACAAGACCTCATAGTTACGAATAATACCTACATATTACAAATAACATGCCATAAAATTAATAGTCCATATATGGTCTTCACAAGCTTCCCTACCCCTCCCCCCTTCTTTTTTGAAAAAGGGTCCTATGGCCCCAGTTGGCCTGGAACTCCCTCAGTCTCACAGAGATCCACCTGTTTCTGCTTCCTAAGTGCTAGAATTAAAGCTGGTCTGTCACAGTTCAACTTTTTTTTATGAGATAGGGCTTGTCAATATAGACCCGGCTGGCCTATAACTTGTTGCAGTCCTCCTGAGTGCTGGGATTACAGTAAGAAACCCATTTTTTGGATCTTAAACCCAATACTATTGATAACAGACTTGATCAGCTGGTATCCCATTTGTGCTCCTGGTGTAATTACAAAACCAGACCTAACTGCTAGTTTTTTATTGAGAACCATTGTGGATTTGCTAAACTTTTGTCTTTTTAAAAATTTTATCTATATGAGTGTTTTTTCTGTATATATGTAAGTGCACCTGTGTTGTGTGATGGCCATAAAGGACAGAAGAGGGCGTTAGATCCCCCGGTACTGAAGCTATAGATGGTTGATGGTGGCCATGTAGGTGCCAGGTTCTCTCGACAACAGCCAGTGCTCTTAACCACTGAACCCTTTCTCCAGCCCCAAGTTTTTGTCTTTTTAAGTAAAATGTTTGTGTGTACATATATGTCTATTTGAGCATACATACACATGTAGTCACACTTCCTTTTTTAGTCCTGAGGATTGAAACCAGTGCATTCTATCACTAGGTTATGTACCTCTAACCCTTAAGTAAAAATAGTCATTCAACTACAGTCCACCTACAGAAAAAAATAGCATACAAGTCATAAATGGATTATTATTCATCCTCACCAGTTTCTACAAAATGAGGTAGAATCATCCTTTGAGTCCCCTTCCCTCCAATAAAATGGTCAGTAATTCTGCCAAGGTTTTGATGGCTTATTATGGCCAGAAAGTCAGGCAGCAAATTTTTGTAGAAACGGACTGTACTGTATTGAAGAAAACCAGCTCATTCCAGAGACTATTTTGAAAATCCAGCCCTTGGCCATGTAAATGATAACAGACCTCCTGTTAGTGACCAAACTTTCAGGAGAGAACAGTGAGCACAGAGATAGGCTGAGCAGGTTCTCGGAAAGCCCTTTGGAAGGCCATTGAAGAAAGAGAATGCTGGAGGTTGCTCGGCCAGTGACTGTGCCCCACCAGGGTTCTTGCTCTCTATGGAATCTTCCTTTCCTGCCCTTTCCTGTTTCCTGTGCAGTTTCACAGGCAAGACTTTGAACCCCCTTGTGAGATACTGGAGCTGAATGGTTTCTTCTGAGCCAGCAGTTTGTTTTATAGGGTTGTAGAGATTATTCATGTGTGACAGTGGGATGATCCTTGTGATGTTTTTTTGCTATTGACATTAATGGTTTTGGTTTGCCATTGAGATGATATTCTTGCTGTCTGGACTTGGCTTGGTGATACTAAAGACAGCAGGAAGAGACTTCTTACTTGGGCAGTTCAGTTTTGTAGGAGGTATTTCTTTAAAAATTCTGGTCATTTACTGAGCTGCCAGGCATGTTATTCATATTAACAGCTGGAACCCTGAGATGAATGCTCAGCTTCTGTACTTTATCTTGTATTGTGGAGGAAGATACTGGTTTCTGGTTGTCTTGTAAGCTCTTTTGGCCTCCAGAATCTGATCCTATTCCCATCTTTGCTTTGGGGCCTCAGTGTGCTCCTTCCCTGGCTATTATTTAGTCTTTTGGGTCCTTCTTAAGCGTCATACTGCAGAGAACCTCTCTGAGAGGCACATCTTGACTCTGTCAGGGCTGTGCTTCACCATCTTAATGTCATGTGAAGCCTAACTGTACATCTTTCTATGTTCCTGCTCACACGTACTTCTAGTCTCTCGTCTGCAAAAACTTTCTCTTTGTCCATTTGAGCAGAGAATGACTTTAAAAAGTAAAACAAAGGGCTCTGAGGTAGTAACCTGCAAGTGTGAGAATGTCAGAGTCCTTGCGTTATCATTTCTGAGCCAGTGATTTAAGTCTTCTGAGAGCTTCTGTTGTTTTACCTCTGTAGCCTGCTCTGCCCTCAGTTGGGACACTCACAACTGTCTACTGCCCTGTGCTCCCCTGAAGTGCCCACTGGTTTAGTAGCAGCTCTCATCTTTTGATTAGACTTGCCTTTTACCAAGAGTTTTAATTTGGATCACATGCACTTGATTCGTCCTTAAATCATGAGTGAGTCAGTTGTGGGAACAAGCACCAAGATTGCCCCACTCTGATTTTATAAAAGTGCAAACTACTTAGTAGTGTGCCAGGTACCAGGTTCTGCACAGCTTTTTGTGCCGTTTCAAGTCCACAGATGAATTGTTTCCCTTTAGAAATCAAGGAGCCCTCCCTCCCCCTATTTTTCATGTTTAGGGCTTATAATTTTGAATGCTGGTAAGAGGGGACACATTTACATTTTCCTAGAGGGCAGGGCCTGAACATATCTGGCACCAGATAAATTCTTAGAGTTCTAATGTTTGAAAGTTTGAAACACTTCAGAGATAATTCTCTGGCATCGAACACCTCCAGTTATTTAAAACTAACTTGCATTGAAATGAACAGGTTGCATAAAATAGCAGTTTTTAGAGTATTTTTGGATAAAATAATTTTCCAGGTAGGTTTTGTTTCGAAGCATTAAAAAAAGAAATCAATGTAAATATTTACTGGGTGTGGTGGTACACCCTGTAATCTCAGCATTCAGAACGCTGAGGCAGGAGGATTGCCACAAGTTTCAGGCCAGCCTGAGCATTGTATGTAGTGAGTTCCAGGCTTGCAAGAGACAACAAGACCCTGACTCACAAAAACCAAAACCAATGAAATAAGCAAATCCCAAAACAATATTGAGGGGTTGCCAGTAACTTGGTGGTATAATAGGGCAGATCTGGGGTGGTAGTGCATATTGGTAGGGTATACACCCCTAGATCAAGTATAGACTAATTGAGTAGGAATGGTGATATCGAGTAACTATTTAGAAGTAAGAGGGGTTTACATAGGATAATAGGTATGAAGTTGCTTTTATGGGCTTAATGCTTTTCTTCTTTATTGGGGTGAAGCTCTTTATTACATAGATTTGAGAGCAGAGAGGTGAGTCAAGAGTTACACTGTTGTAACTGAGCTTTGGACAGAAAAGAGGGCGTGGGGAGAAGTGGGAGCACTTGCTATGGTAAGATTGTCCTAAATTCCATAACATATATGTTGTCTGTCTCCCCCATTGACAAGACTTTCTGCAGTGTTCCTGCCTTGTGTTGTTTGTTAATTAGATTGTAATGTCTGAAAGGGCATGGGCACTGTCCTGTTCTGATTAGCATCTAGCGTAGTCTGCTGTCCACAGTGAGTACCCACCACTAGTTGATGATTAGTGAAGCTGAAGCTATTTTTCGAACAGGGCCCAAGGGATGCAGACAGTGATGAAAACGACAAAGGTGAAAAGAAGAACAAGGGTGCGTTTGATGGAGATAAGCTAGGAGATTTGAAGGAGGAGGGTGATGTGATGGACAAGACCAATGGTTTACCAGTGCAGAATGGGATTGATGCAGACGTCAAAGATTTTAGGTTTGTATATTTTACTCTATTGATTTTTGGATGTGGGCTATGGGTTTTATTTTTATTTTGTTTTAGTCCCTCCCCTCATGTTTCTTTTTTAAAAGCCAGATCCAGTATAAGATCATGCCACAGAGGTGTAAATTAACTCTTAAGGTAGAATTTTCTAAGAGCTGTCAATGCTCCATGCTTTGCCAAAATGATAGATATGTGTACTTGTGCAGAGCTGAATTTGCAGTGATTCCATAGAGAGTATCTTAGTAATTCTGGAATACTAAAGTCACCTGGTGTTGGTGCCTAGGGACTTGCCCATCTCTCCTAGACCACTATACTATAGAGCCATGGTCATTAAGGGAATGGTATCAGTATCCCTCTTGTACCTTGGAGGGAGAAATAGTTGAGAACTTGTGCGCCATCTCATTTGTGTTCAACAGTTCCTTCCCAGGTAGTTAGGGCAGGCATCATTTACTTCATCCTGAAGAAGTCGAGGAAATGACTTGGGATTTGTGATGTGTTTTTATTTTCTTTTTCCTTTTTTGAAGACAGGGTCTCACTATGTAGCTCAGGCTGGCCTTGAACTTGCAGTCCTCCTGCCTTAGCCTCTGAGTGCTGGGATTACAAGTGTATACCACCACCACGCTCAGCAAATGGCTGTGGTAATCATCCTTTCCATCCATGCCTCTTACTCCATCTCTGGTCATGATTAAGTTGCAGGTTTTACCCTGTAATTTAACATACCTAGTATTAGCTTTTTGTCTTCCATAGTTGGCAATTGTTTCTCATTTATGCAATCAAACTTTAGCTATGGTATATAATTTCAAATAACAAAATATTTGCATAGTGATCTATAGATGAACTTTATTGTCAGTTTAAAGATAATGGGTGTGTATTTTCATACATATGAAAACATACATCCATATACCCCACATATCTGCTAATGTCAAAATAAAAATGTATTTGTGCATCATTGGTAGAACAAGTGTCAGTTGTTGAATAAGCCTAATTTATTTTCTATATATTGAACATGTATATATCTTGAATAGCCTTTGAAATTTGAGGCAGAGAGTAATAAATGCTCCTCTGTGTTCTTGGAGCTGAGTTCTGGTGGCCCCTCCTCCCTGAATCTCAAGTAGCCTAGAGCCTTGTTCTGTGGTATCTGGCTGGGGCAAGGAATGGTGATGTATGTGATAGAACATGGCAATACCTATAACATGTACCAGCTATAATACCTTTTGGGGGAGAAGGGCATTGAATGTAGCCACAGGTTACCCTCCTAGCCTGTAGTGTAACCTGTTAGTTTGATTTGGATGATATAATCCTTTTACAGATAGGATGGTGGTATATACTGGGCTCCCAGAACAGTACTCACCTAAACCTGTACCCCAGAGAATTATCATTAGTACCCTCTTTTGCTTGCTGGAGTCTCTCGATTTGGATGATAAATTGTGTTTATATTAGTTTTAATTTTAAGAATTGTTTTTTGAGCAGGAACATATTGTTAGTGTGTTAAAATATTTTGAAATGATTTGCTTCTTCCAATTTCTTGGGTGGGGCAGTTTTAACACTAGTCAGTAATACATTAAAAAACAAGAAATGAAGAGCAAAGTCTCACTGTGTATTGTAGCCTGGCTTTGAACTTTCACTGAGTGCTGGGATTATGGGTGTATGCCACTATGCCCAACTCAGAAACTCGCCTTTCCATTTTGCTGTGTTTAAAGAGGAGATACTGCTTTGGGGGAACATATTTTACTGTAAACCCCATGTTTTAAGGGATACCTTTGTTTTCATGAATGGCACAGTTGGCAGTGTTTTCAGTTTATTCCGTGTTCCTCCAATCTAGAATCCACAGTAAAGGAATTGCAAATTAACAGCAGATAATGTGTGTTCGGGAGGTAGATAGGAAAGAAAGCAAGCAATAGAGGGATCATTTTAGAGGGTGTAACCTTGTAAGCGCCGTAAAGGATCTCTAGTTATTTTGTAGAAATAGCTTTAAGTACTGTTGTTAATGAGTTGTGTCAAGGACATAAACTGGGGGTTGCTGTAATGTCCATCCCCGATCAAAATAAGGTTTAATGCCCTTTACTTTCTCTGTTTAGCCGTACCCCTGGTAATTGCCAGAACTCTGCTAATGAAGTGGATCTTCTGGGTCCAAACCAGAATGGTTCTGAGGGCTTAGCCCAGCTGACCAGCACCAATGGTGCCAAGCCTGTGGAGGATTTCTCCAACATGGAGTCCCAGAGTGTCCCTTTGGACCCCATGGAGCATGTGGGCATGGAGCCTCTGCAGTTTGATTATTCAGGCACGCAGGTACCTGTGGACTCAGCAGGAGCAACTGTGGGACTTTTTGACTACAATTCTCAACAACAGGTACTGTTTGTGTCTTTGTCACCCTTTCTACTTCCCTCTAGTCAGCACATTACTCAAGTAACTAGGAAGAGGGGGTGGGCCAGGGTGCTGTCATTTTAGGATGTCTGTGCCAACCTCTCTTGACACAACAGTGAAGTAAGTTTACAAAGTGGGCCTTTCTCCTTAGGAAGCTGGGTCTTTATGCCGAGGTTGCTGGAAAGAAAGCACCTTGCTCTATGTGTACTGTGCTTGGCTCTTTTCTGTCCCCATCCCTGGGGAATGGATGAGGTGGTGTTACCTTTGTAATACTATCCTCCCAGATGCTGTTATACTTTGAAGATTTGTGTTGTGTGATATGACTGGTAAGAATGCTTGCTGAAAGCAAGAAGACTTGAGGGCCTGGCTGCACATGCCCTTTACCCCAGCATTGGGACTCAGAGATGGCACATTTTGGAGCTTACTAGCTTGAATGTCTTCCCCTATCACTCTGCCTTACTCCCTTGAGACAGGGCCTCTCACTGAACTGGAAACTCATGCTTCTCTCTGCCTCTCATTCACCCTCCACCCCCTAATGCTATAGTTATAGGCATACACAGATATGCCTGGCTTTTATGTGGGTGCTAGGAATTCGAACCTAGGCACTAGTGTTTGCATAGCAAATCCTCTTACCCTTTGAACCATCTCCCTAACTCTTATCTTGTTCTTTTATCCATACATTTCTAGAAAATTTTGTGTATGTGCTTACTGTTCTAGGTTTTTTGAGACAGTGTTTCATTATGTATCCAAGGCTGGCCTAGAACCTGCTATGCAGTCCTGGCTGGCTTGGATCTTATGTTCTTGTGATTAGCGTTCTTAGTGCTGGGATCACAGGTATGCGCCACCATGCCTGCTGTTTTTTCCTGCTGTTTTTAAAGGCATCTGTGCGTAAGACTAATTCTACATTTTACAGAAAATCAGCTATCTAAATTACAAAAAAGGGACAGGGTAACTTTATAATCATTTTGTGGTGGAAGCAGTTTGGTGAATAGTGCATTTCTGTTACTACTTAGTTTTGGATTAGAACATCAATACAGATTCTAGATGTGTAGTTTTGAACTTCTGTAATCTCTTGGTAAATTCGCTTATGGTCATTGTCAATTAGTGGTACTGTGCTGTGCTTTATTTACTGTCATTTACCTGATGTCAAATGGCAATTAGATATTTATAGGAACATTATCAAAAGAAATCCCTTTGAAGTATGCTCTGACTATATATGATTATAAAAGTTTTGTTGTTTTTGATGGAACTGGTAATGGAACCTAGGGCCTCGCGAGGGCTATGCAAGTTCTCTACCACTGAGCTACACTCCCAGCCTTACATAAGTTTTAATTAGCAAACTTCTCTTTAGAGAGTAAACTGTAAGTGTACACTGTTCTCTCTGTAGTTCTCAAGAGGTATGCTCACTGCCGTAAATATGTCCTTTCTGGTTTCCTCTTCCTTATGACCCTTACTGCTTCATGTATTAATTTTCTATTCCAAATCTTGTTATTTAAGAAGAATTTGTCTCCAATCATTTGTTAACAAAACTCTTTCTCTCTCATTTAACTGTCCTTTCATAATCATGGAGTTATAGTTTTTTTTTTATTTACTCATCTCTGGTTTCTTATTACCAATGGTTTTGGAAGCTGGATAATTATTAGGACTTGAATAGAAGTGTGCTTTTGAATGTATCAAAAATATCAATTCAGACAGAATACAAAGCCATGGCCTTATTTTGACACATTTGTAAGTAAACAGGATTACTTTGAAAACTTGTTTGTTGACTTGTGGCATAGTAAGACTAATTCTACATTTTACAGAAAATGTATGTGTTAGCTGATGAGGTGTAATGGTGCTGTCACGTGATGTGGTCATTATTATTTTATCCCTTGGCCATATTGGTGCTTCTCCCTCACACCCTCCTAGTACCGGGGATCAAACCTAAGACTTCATGCATGCCAGGGAAGCACTCTACCTCTGAGCTGGATTTCCACGTCCAAATTACTACTTTTCTAATTAGATTGTTTTATACATTCTTGTCCCATGCACCCTAACATCTGGGAACCATTGTCCTCAGACTCTGAGACCTCGGCTTTCCAGAGGCTCCTATATAGAAGCAAGAATTAAGGCTGAAAGAATCTTTTCTCCTGGAAGTCATGTGCTTTTGTTTTGTCTATCCCTCTTTTTGCTGTTTATCACTTTAATTCCATTTTCCAATTCTGATTTGAGTAGTTTCCCTTCGTTAAGGTCCATCCTGTCCCTTTTCTTTATATTCAAATCCCAGGTTCTCATTTTTGCCTGCTTTGAGTTCCGTGGTATTTGGTGGAGCATTTGCCAGCTTGTGAGCTGCTCCAGAACACAAGCTCCTCTGCTCATGTTCAGCAGATCAGATCTTGAGGAGCTCTTTCCTTATTTCTGTTTTATCTCCATGTTCCTCCTGTATTTAATACATTTCCCCAAATTAAAATGTGAAACTACAGAATACCTGGGAAATTTAGATATCCTGGAAAATTTGTTGTTTAAAATTAGTAATATTACTGTATAATAGCCAGTATTCAGTTGCTGTCTGATCAAAAGCCATGGCCCTTCACATCAGGAAAACAATTTTTAAAAAATTATTTATTTTTATGTGTGAATCCTTTGCATGTTTGTAGGTGCACCATTGTGCATGCAATGCCTGTGGAGGCCAGAAGAGGGTCCCTGGAATGGGAGTTATAGGCAGTTGTTAGCTGCCACATGGATAGTGGGACCTGAACCTATGCCATGTTCTCTGGAAGAACAATCAGTGCTCCTTTTTCTGTCTTTTTGAGACAGGGTCTCTCTGTAGCTCCAGCTGACCTGGAACTTACTGTGTAGACCAGGCTGGCCTTGAATTCATAGAGATCCACCGTCTCTGGGACTAAAGGTATGCACCACCACGCCTGGCCTCCAACCCCATTTAAAATTTTTATTTTTATGTGTGTGAATGTTACTCAGATTTTATTTTGACACCATGCCCCGCACAAGCAGTGTTCTTAAAAAATATTTATTTTTATGTGTATGCGTGTATTGCCTGTATGTGTATAAGTGCACCCATGTTGTGTAATACCCGCTGAGACAGAAGAGGGCGTCAGATCCCCTGGAACTAGAGTTACAGATGGTTGTTAGCTGCCATGTGGGTGTTGGGCTTTGAATCCAGGTCTTCTGCAGGAGCAGCCAGCAGCCAGCATCCTTAACCACTGAGCAATCTCTCCAGCCCCCAGTGATCTTTTTACAACCAAAACAAACAGATTTTTATTTTATGTGTATGAGTGTTTTGTCTGCATATATGTAAGTGCACCCATGTCATGACATGCAGTGCCAGTGGAGGCCAGAAGAGAGTGTCAGATCCTCTGGAACTGGAGTTACAGTTGTCCAGCTGCCATGTGGGTACCAGGAAATGAAATCGGGTTTCTGCAGCCCCAGGAAATCATAATTCCTTTGGTATCGGTTTTGGCACCTTTAATTCAGGGAGATTATAGTTGTGGGCAGGGTCTCCCTGTATCCTGAGCTGGCCTGGAACTCACTTTGTAGACAAGGCAGGCCTCAAACTCACAAAGATCCACCTGCCTCTGCCTCCCAAGTGTTGGGATTAAGGGTGTGTGCCTGGCTGCAAAGCACATCTTTCATGAATAGAGCAAGATTATCCATTTGGTTCCCCCTCCTCCTAGTTGTTTTCAGTTTAGTCATTGAGAATCATTTTTCATCATTTAAGTAGTAGAGGGTAGCACTCCATGATAAGGCATGGGACTGGGACTAGAGAGTGGATTTAGTGACTAAGAGCACTTCTGCTCCTGCAGAGGACCAGAATGGGGTTCCTAACATTTGTGGCAGGATGCTTAGAACCACCTGTACCTCCATCTCCAGGGGATCTGTTGCCCTCTTCTGACTTCCATGCATATCTGCACACAGGTGCCCAGACAACCCCTGCCTCCAAAAAAAGTAAAATAGAATCTAACAGGGAGTTGGGGGAGAGGGGTGGAGGTAGGATGGAGGGAGACTGTGCACACATCCTTGGACCACAAGTTCTCTGGAGGAAGGAAGGAAAGACTTGCAGAAGAGGTGCTGTTGAGCTGTACCTTAAAAGTCTTGTTTCTACAGGGAGAAGGTGCAAAATTCTCATGTAGAAAATTCTTGTGCCTCTTGAGTGGCGGGAATAAAGGTGTGCGCCACCCAGCTCAAAAGATTTTTTTTTTTTTTTTGGTCTTTTTGAAGCAGGGTCTCCCTGTAGCCCCAGCTGTCCTGGAACTCACTTTGTAGACCAGGCTGGCTTTGAGCTCAAAGAGATCCGCCTGCCTCTGCCTCCCAAGTGCTGGGACTACAGGTGTGCGCCACCACGCCCAGCTAAAAGATTTCATTTTTAAATTATGTGTATTTGACTCAGTATGGGTATGTGCTTGTGAAATGAGGTGCCCACAGAGGCCAGAAGAGGGCATTGGGTTTCCTGGATCTGGAGTTACAGTTGTTAGCTGCCATGTGGGTACTGGGAATAGAACTCTGGTTTCCTGGAAGAGCAGGAAGTGCTTTCAACTGCTCAGTCGTATCTCCAACCCAATAAGGATCTTCTTAACCGCCCCTCCCCCCATCTTTTTGAGCTAGGGTCTCCCCGTAGCCATAGCTGACTTGGAACTCACTGTGTAGACCAGGCTGGCCTCAATCTCACAGATCTGCCTTCTTCTGCCTCCTGAGTGCGTCACTACACCTGACTTTTGATAAGGCATTTTTAAAGGGTAGTTTTCCGGTTTTGGTTTTTGTTTTGATACAGAATCTTGCTGTGTCACCAGACTGGCCTTCAGCTTGTGCCTCTCCTGCTTCGCCTTTCAAGCACTGAGACTACAGGTGTGTCACCACACCAGCTTAGGAGGAATGTCTTGGTTTTCAGGTTTGTTCTTTTTTATGACATTAGTGTAGAAGCAGGTTTAGCTCTTCTCTTACTGAATAAATTGATTAGTTCTCTGCAGCTGTCGGGTCCTTCAGGAACCTTG